AAAAAAAAAAAATCTCTGTGCTTCTGTTTTACTATGGATTACAATGTGAAAGATGTGCCCGGATAACCTAAAACAGAAACTGAAGTATCTTTAAAAATTATCTGATCCAAAGTGGGGATCAAGGAGGAGAAAGCATCTGATCGACTGTTCTTAAATAACATATACATGAAGACCACACACACACATGCACTCTTGGAACAGGGCTGCATTCTCATAGGTGTGGTTTCTAACAGACCTGGGAGGCCAAGGTGGCCAGGTGCTGGTACTGTGCTTACCGGCACAACTGTGGAATAAGCCTGTTGTGCTGCATACATCAGGTTCCTGAGGAGGGTGATGAGATTACACAGACAGTTCAACAGAATCTTCCGGGCAGCCTGGTTGAACACCTGAAGCTCTTCTACCAGCTGGGCATTGAGGGCTTCATATTCCTTTTTGGCCAAGTCTGACTCATCTCCTGCTGACCGCTGCAGGTAGCTATTGTAGTCTAACAGTTTGTCATAGCGTTTCTGGATGAGCTTCTGAGGTCCTGGGAATAAGGACAGCAGGGCTGACAGCGGGTTCAGGACGAGTCTCTGCAAGTGAGATGCCTGTCAAAAGAAATGATGACCCCATTACAGAGAAGGGAATAGCCCATACCATTGATCTGGGTAGCCTGCCTCCTCTCCGCAGGAGCACAAAAGAACCTGGACAGCATCCATCCACGTTAGAAGAGAAACTCATCATTTTTGTCTCTAGCTAAACCTTTTCAAGGACTTAAAACAAAGACTCTAATATGGAACATGAAGAGTGAGCAGGAAGAGAAATACAAAACTATATAAATCAAAGCTATATAAAAATATAGCTTTCTTTCTGAAGCCATTTGGTTTTGTCACCAGAACACTGCCCACTTCCCCTTCTTTCTTATCCCAGAGCCAACCTGAGCTATTTCACACATGGCGGGGGGGTGAGGTCAATCACCAAATTTTGACTACCAGAAATGAATGATTCACCATATCACTGAGACCACTTGGTGACGGCAAAAGTTGTGGTCTTAGAAGAGACTGTAACATACTCCCCCCAAGGTGGTCCCAAATCCCTAACTACTCTGAAGACTTTATTTTTGGTAGTGGAATTGCATCCCCCATACAGATAACAACACTTTAATATGAGTATTTACTCCTGTAACAGAAATGACCAGAGATATACACTTCCTCATTTAAATACATTAAAACTGGTGCTGGTCCCTGTATCTTAAATTGTTACTCTTTTAGCTCTGAATCATAAAAAATAATCTTTGAGTTCATTCCCAATCCTGTGTTGGCATTGAAGCACCCTAGATTTAACTTCTTCTATTACTCTACTCTGAAACACACTAGTATCTTATGTTTGCTGATTGCCCTATGTTATAGTTTGGATCTGAAATGTCCCTCAAATTTATTGTGTTGAAAATTTGGTCCCCAGTGCAGGAGGGTATAGAGGTGGGGCTTTTGAGAAGTGATTGCATCATGAGGATTCTGACCACATCAGTGGATTAACCCATTCATAGCTGAGTGGATTACTGGGAGGTGATGTAAACTATAGGTAGGCAGAACACAGCTGGAGGAAGGAGGTTACTGGGAGTGTACCTTGGGGACAATCTTGCTCCAGTCCCCCCCACCCTCTCTCACTGGCTGTATGAGCTAGGCAGTTTTCTTCTGCCATGCTCTTCTGCTATCAGGTTCTGCCTCATCCCAGACCCAGAACAGTGAAGCTGGACAATCATGGACTGAAACTTCTAAAACCTTGAGCCAAAATACCTCTTCTTCTAAGTTGCTTATATCAATTATTTTGGTCAAATATTAAAAAAATCCCTACTTTACCCTATATACTTGGGTTACAGGACTACATTAGAAAAATTTGGTAGCAGGTTTTCTTCTGTACCCTCGAAGAGGTCCCAGGAAATCCACATCTGAGCAGCAATCTGTATTAATTAATTTAAAAGCCCCCTGATAACTTTATCTGAACTCATGGGAAATCTAAAAGAGAGGGGAACCAATCTCTTATTGGCACTAGCAAGAGCCAACACATTAGATTTGATGTCTACTTTATAAAATAATCAATATACAACTGCATACATACTGTTTAATGAGTCTCTTGACTAAGAATCTGTTTACTATATCTGGTATAAATTACTATGTTTGTTAAATGACCAGATTCTACAGGTAATATAATTACAAAATTAGTATACAAAAAAAATTTATCTACCTTTAGATTTTTGAGTTCTTAGTATTTCATTTTTAAAATGTCCTATATATTATTCATAAATGTTACTTTTTTTGAGCTTTCTGATTATTTATTTTAACTTAGCCTAATTAGTGTATTGTAATGCAAGGTAGGTAAGATAGCTTTTTTCGTCTTTCTCCTGAATTTTGGAGCAGACTTGCTAAGGGAGAAACTACCATGCTCTCAGATAGTGCTCAATAAATATTTATTGACTTAATGGATTTGAATTAACCTAAAGAGCAAACCCTTAAGGCTTTTCTAAAATGTGCTCTCTGTAATTAAACCCAGAAAATACATAGAAAACTACCCATGCTTTTCCCATTAAACCTCTGATTTAAAAACTTATGTCATCCACTCATCCATCCTTCTACTCACCCATCCATCCACCCACCCACCCATGAGCAACTTATCTACGGATCATGTATATTTATCATGTATCATGTATATGTATCATGTATATTTGCTGATGTAATCCTGAATTTTCATTTCCTAATGCCAGAAATGCAAGATGCTTTTATGTGGTTTTCTAGTGGGGTGAGGAGTTTATCACTTCCTAGGGTTTGGAAATATGTGGAGTTATTCATTGATTCTCCCTGTGACTTGACATAGGGGGATGTTATTGATATTTTGAGGCTGGTGAGCTAGGAATGCTAAACATTGTCCCATACAAGAGCTTCTCTGAAGACTTATATGAACCAAAGTGCAAATTACACCAATGCAAAAAGTTCACCTTCAATATGGTGGAATCTATTATACCTTCTATAGAATACTTGAAATATACTATGACATAATAATAACCATAGAAACTCAAGACGTTAATTAAAATTTGTATTATACAGACTAGCTTACCATTCAAATATTTTATTGACTCAAGCATGTTTTTATGATTCCCAGCCCATATTTTATAGAACTCTTAGAAAAGAAATATTTGAACATGGAAAAGAAGAAAATTACACATGACTCTTAACGGAAAGAAAGCTTTGCTGCCAAGTGTGTATCGTGTTAGTAAGAATCACATCCTCAGAAAATACCTGTGCTCCCTCTGTAAGGACATAAGACATTTCTAGAGATACGTTAAGAAAATCATAGCTTTCCAACTTAATAAATCCTTGATATAATGTATGCAAACTCCAACTAAATATTGATCCTAAAAGCTACACAGGCACTAACTACTGCTAGGAACACAGTCCAGAGTTGTCTTAAATTTCAATTATAGTAAAATCCTCAACTAATCCACTTTAGAAATATTTAATTTTTTAAAAATCCATATTAAAATCTTCTAATTTTAACATTAGTATTTGCTTTAGTGCATATTTTATTTCTCACTCTGGAAAAAAGAAATGAAAAACAGCATTTCTTTTTAACTCCACTATTTAACTTGTATTTTCTATGAATATAAATAACTTACAAAGTCATGACAGGGATTTGGAGCATTACTCAGAGTCTCTGAATAGCCCACCTCCTCCTCATCTTTGTTGTACGAAATTTCCCGGAGCTCCCTCACACTCTGGAGAGAAATAGGCATGGCATCCTGAAACCCAACAATAAGGTAAGTTCTGAAGTTATTACAAATAAATGTATATCCAATGCAAATGTCCCCCTTTTTATCCCCTTTTGATCTCTCAGAAGAAATAATGGTGACATTGCATAGAGCTCACCTATCATGTGAAAGGTGCTGGGTTTGATCCTCAGCACCACATAATAAACAAACAAACAAACAAGTAAATAAATAAATAAAAGATAAAGTTATTGTGTTCAACTACAACTAAAAAAATTAATTTTTTTTAAAAAACGGGGAAAACTATGAAACTTTTGTGAATATTTTATACAATCAGATTACTTAATCTCTCTCCCTCCTTCTCCCCCCATCACTTTTTCATAATATTTTGTATAATGCCCTTGTTGATTCATAGAAGTTCTTATTGGCCATTCTTTAGCATTTGATTCACAGATTACTTATTTTAAAAATTACTGCTCTTGATATAATCATCACTTTTCCTTAGTGAATTTCATGCTCTCTTTAAAAGAAGATTTCTCACTTTTTTTGTTGAATCAATCAGTTAAAATACAGGATTTTCCAGTAAATGTTCCCAAGAGACATTTACTCCTCAAAGGATATGTAAAGGTGCACAAAGGACAGTCCCCTCTGCCCTCTAGCTGTTATAACTGTTTTGGTTTCCTTTTCACAGAAGGCAGTGCTTTAGAGAGAGATTAGCAAACCTAATTGTAAAATCAGGATTTGCCTCTGACAATAAATAAAAACAGAATGGTGCTCTTAGACAGAACATGGAACCCTGTCTCCAAATCAGTGTGCTGGTCACCTTAACCCTCAGCTGGTGTAATACTTCATCTCGGTGTGCAAGCATCTACTTCAAAAACAGATAAGCAAGAGAATACGTTTCTGGAAAAGGAAGGGAGCCATTTATTAACTTATTTACATGGAACTCCACTAATTTCCTATGTCTCATAGTCATAACCACTGTCAAGATGCTGCTTAGGACACCGTGTCCTCGATAAGATCCGTTAGGAGAATCTCCTGACTGGCTTTGCTACTGAGAATAATCATGCTGTACTCCAACAGGAGTTTGTTGAAGTCAGTGATTCTCAAGAGGGTCAGCACAACCTCCTAGAGGACTAGAAATTTTCGGAGATGTTTTTGTTTTCTGGTGTAATTGTGTGAGAGCTTTTGATTATTGTAACTGCATATTATTTTGTAGTTCAACTTATTCTCTTTTATATTGATTTTTATACTTACTTTAGGTATTAGGAAGAGAGATTAGTAAAATCAGACAAATAAAGTAAACTTTCTGCCCAATGCACAATTTTGAGTTAATGATGTCATCTTTATTGTAAAAAAAAAAAATGCTTGTGGTCCATGGGGCAATCATCTGAGCAAGACTCCTAACTGGGCAATTTGGGTAAAGGGGAGAATGGAGCAAATAGGGGGTCAAAGAGCAGAACCCAGACCCTTGTCCTGGTCTCCCTCACAGCACTTTACAGTCTTCCCAATTTGATACAGTAAGTGACACAAATGAATGAACCGTCATACTCCTCATAGAAACCACGGAAATTAGTGCATTCTGGAAGGAACATCAACAACTTGTATCTCACCTACCTGTATGTGTTGGAGACAGAATGAAATATTCTTTACACAGTGCCTCACAGTCTTTTCTAAAGCTCTAAACAGCTTTTCTTCTCTGTTAAAGGTATTATCTTTCACCTAAAATACAAATGAAATTATTTATTTTCATAATTCAAATGAATCTGATACTTGGAAAAAACAAACAAACAGGATAGATCATATTGGTCCAGCACAGTACACAAAAGTCCTTGTTTATATTGAAACCTTCTGTGATAGCCCACTATTGTAACGCAGTACTTCCCAGATGGGCACACTGCACATCGGATGTCGCAAAGCCTCATGATTCAGCTTCATTGATTTTCACACAGCTTCAACTATGTCACAATAGTTGTAAAATTATAAGAATTTTCCCTGAAGTTTTAAATTATATTACTTTGTGGGTTTATAAAATAGCTAAATTTGATCTATGGACTAAAATGTATTGTTTTGCTCAGAAGACTCACATCAGTTTATTTAGAAAGTAAACCTCAGTTCATGGTTAAAGAACTGTGATAATTATCACTTTTAATTTGAAAGATGATATATAATCTTAGTTTCTCTGTAATAATAAATTTTCATAGTGATGATGGTGATCACATCAATTCAGTTAGTTTTTGTCACCTTACATATAATATCTATTAGCATTCAGAAAAGTATGATTTTTATATGCTTCTGGTGTTTGTTTGTTTGTTTGTTTGTTTTTTGAACCCCTGCTCATTGCTATTTCTTTTTTTTAGGTGAGTTTTCTAAAAAAATATTTTTTAGTTGTATATGGACACAATGTCTTTATTTATTTTTTATGTGATGCTGAGGATCAAACCCAGTGCCTCACCCATGTGAGGCAAGCACTTTGCCACTGAGCTACAGCCCCAGCCCTCATTGCTACTTCTTAGCAATCAAACTGGATATAAGACAAGATCAGAACCAGTCTCTGGACTGGTGAAAGTCATGTGAACATGCAAATGTTCCATAGAACAGGGTGACTCTTGCTCAATTAGGCACTAGATAATAATTGTAGCTGTTTTGGTTCATATGTTTCTTGATTTCAGATAGTTGACCTTAGAGCTGTATAAATAAAAATCATAGCGTTTTATTTTTAAACCTCTTAATATTGTTGATCTAGCAAACTTTTGAACAAATAGGTAATAGGGTCCTTTGCTATTCACACAAGATCCAACTCAGTTTGGTGTGCATAACAATATGCTGGGCCAGGTAGTCTTAAAGTCAGTTTCCAAGGTCACATTGCCAGATATTTTATTTTGTATATCTTGGCTGGAACCAGATGACTCTAAAGAAGGAGGTTTAAGGATCACACTATGAGAAATATTGCCCAATTCTACTTCCCCATAACCAATCCTTTCTCGTGCTGTTTTGCTGGAATATGTTGCTGTCCTTTTTCTCCCTTATAAAACATTCTGTTTATTTTTAAGAACTAGCTCATATGTGACTACTTCCATGAGTTGTCCTTCCATTGCTCTTCTTCCCACTGTAGAAAGTTAATTTCTCCCTCCTGTGTGCTCTAGTAACCCTAATTAATTAGTTACACAATTCTCTCTTCTGATGAATTTCTCTATGCCTTTCTTCCTCCTTCTCATTTTAATATTTATACAATACTGTGGGTTAGCTATTATGATAAACACCAGTTTAGAGATAAACAGCAGCTTCAGAAGGTGGCAGAGTCTGTTGACATTTTCCATTGTCCTTTTACTGATAGAACCCACACCTCTCATTTAAGTAGGACACATGGCTGACCTACTCGAGACAGTTCCAAGATTTCCTTGCAGCTAGCTCAACCCATGTAACTGTTTGGATGACTGGGTGTTTCATTTATAAGTCTTAGCCTTGCAACATTGTCCTTGGGACTTGAATGAAGACATGGCAATGACCTAGCCTCAACCAGACAGATGAGACAGTGTGTTTAGGAAAAGCACTGTGCTGAATTGGATAAACTGGATTCCTGAAGGATCTTATTAAGCAGAGCTTGTCTGCTCACATCTCAAGACTCTGGTTACAGAAAGAAATAAAGGGCTACCTGACTTCAGCTACTATGCTTTGGAATCTCTCTGCGACAGATGCACAGCCTTTATCCTAACATAAGGGGTTAGAGAAACTTACCCCTGTTTATAGGTAAGATCAATATTCACACCCAAGCAGTCTGAATTCAGAACCTACACCTGTTCATCTTTGTATTCCCAATCTCTTATACGGTGCATGGTACATGAGAGTTCAATACATGTATGATGAATTGAATAGAATCCTCCTCTTGGGTAATAGCTTTAAACCCTAACTCTACCAATATTTCACCTGAGCTGCTGACAAGTGCAAAATTGATTGATTTGAGATTTATCTCTTCTCCAGTCCAGCCTATGCAGCTGATTTTCTGATTAACAGTGAAATGCTTCATTGCTGACAGGACATCCTCTAAAAAGATTAAGGAGGAAAATCTAATTAATATCCCTTCAGGCGACTTTAACTACAATTCACTTTTAGTTCACAATTGAAAAATATAAGAAGCTGATGATAAATATGCTAAAGAATATTTTAAAAGCTTGCCCCAAATTAGAACTTCCCCTATTGTTTCTCAATAGAATTGTCTTGAGTCAGAAATAAAATCCCAAAGAGTGGGAAAGAAATATTTATACCAAATGTATATATGCCTATAGGGCACAATAATCTCTTCTTAAATAAATTTCCCAATTTGATTTTATTATTGTTGTCTTATTTGAAACATTCTAACTGTCCTTTCCTTTATCTGTTACCATACACCATTAATGTCCCAAACTTCCCATATCAAAAGGAGGGGCCTCCCATATACAATCAACCAGGCGAACCCCTAGAAGGATAAAAGAAGTGAATACAAACCATGTATTCTAAAAAATGTACATGTTAACTATGGTATTGCATGTTGGATATCATATGGTAAAGTCAATGCAGTCACCAAAGAAAATGAGAACAAGGCTTGGAAATAGGTCTCAGAGATCAGGTCATCACATGCCATACAGGGTCACAGGGGAAGTTCCAGGTTTTGGTCAAGTGGCAGAAGACAAGAGTGAAGAGAAAGTCTAGGCCAGAGTCTTTATTGGGGTTTTCTTGGGAAGTAAAAAGCAGGACAAACTAAATGGGATTGGTTGGTTTGAATAATTCCCATGGGCTAAGGGTTATAGGACTGATCTCTCTTTACTTTGCATCTAGCTGTAGAATAAGTTAGGGCAGGAGAAGTATTGGTTCAGTGTGTAAGACTTAGGTGAGGATGTGAATGGAACCATGAGATGGGGTGATCTGAAAATGAGAGTTGTTTGCCCAGCTATTTGCTCTCAAAGAATTGCCTAGCCCTGAAAGGGGTGGTCTCTCCTAAAATACCAGCAAGGTATTTAATGTCAAAACATTATAAAATACAGAAAGTAAAAAAAAAAAACCACCACGATTAATACAGCATATATAAATGAGTTTACACCCTCGTGGGAAGTAAGATAGCTGAACAAAGGCAAATAATAATTTAAGACAACAATATAAAGCAATAATGCTGATAATTATGCTAATCTTGACAGCCAGTATATACTGTTTACACACTGTGTTAGGTGAATTCTCTATATATGAATCAATTCATTTAACAGTCACAACCTTTCCATGTGTCAAGTACTAGTGTAATCCCTAATTTACAGATATTCCATTAAATTTAAGCCGTGTGCCCAAAGACAAATATTTATTAAGTGGCAAAGAACTTAATTTATTAAATTCAAACAAAGATTTAGATAACTTCAAAGACCTTGCTCTTAACTTCTGCCCTATGCTGTCTCCTGCAAATATGAATAGTTTCAAGACTGCAAGCTAGACAGCAGATTTATTAGACACTTGAAGGAAGAAGCCACTTCTACTACAAAGACTTAATGAAAGAAGGAAAAAAGACCACAGCAACTAAATAGTGAGATAGATCCATCCGAGTCCAATGCTAACTACCATAAAGTTACTTCTAGTTCAAACAAAACAATCTTACAGATGTTAAAATATTAAGTAATGAAAAAAAGCAAATGAGAAGGAAAAAAATAAGGTAAAATATAGTGTGCCAAGAACTGTGCTTCCTAATTTCAACTAAAGTCCACGGCATGGTAATACAGTGGTGCCACAATGAGCCTTCTATCTTGTGATTCTCAAAGTGTGTTCCATTGATCACTAACTTCAAGGCCATTAGCTTCAAAACACCTGGAAAATTCGTAAAAATTCAGATTTCTAGGTTGCACCCTTGAAGCAGGTGAAAGCCTAGAATCTGCCTTTCAGCAAGCTCCTCGGGTAATTCTTCTTAAGCACATTAAAGTGCAAGAGACTTTGCTAATCCATCCATTATTTATTAGGAGTTGAGATGAAAGTGGTTCCAGCCAGGCTAAACAGCTGACAAAGAACAGTTATCCACGAATACAACATGCACCTGGGGAGTGGGGAGACAGATGATAAGGGGTAAGAAAACATCGCACTAACTCATGCATCTAAACCCTTCTTTTTTTTAATAGATGAAATAAAGATAAAATGAACATCAAGGGAATCCTAAAGGAAAGCGAGATTTTATAAAGCAGAAATAAAGTAGAGATGGAAGGAGGAGATTGCCTTGAGGGAGCTTATGTGCCGGTTGATAGTGTCAGGATTCCTGAGGCATCCCTGTGCCCCATGTCCTCAGGTCCTTCTTTCTCCTTTGCCTCTGCAGTGGAAGCATCACAGCTAAGTTAGTGTCAAAACCATCCCAGCCATACTCCGAACCCTGTTTTCCCCCAGGAGAGGAAAAAAAGAAAGAGCATAAGGTAATTGACTTTGATTCTCCACATTCTCGATATAACCCTGGTAGCAAGAAAACAAAAACCCCACAAAAATGTCAGTGTTCATGTTCCCCGGGGAAATGTAGGTGGTCCAAAAAGAAAAATTACCTGTGATTCTCCTCTGGTCAGAATCTTTAGATGATTTGTCACTCGTTTTGATTTCTTGCTAATTGAATGAATATTTAGTTTGGATAATTTGTCTTTAAGAGATTCATCCTCATCATTCTTCTTGTATTTTAGAACTGAAAAAAAAAAAAAGGATGCGATGACATATCCGAACATGTGCAGCACACGTTTCACTCAGAGTTTTCAAAGTCCATATTTATATTCAAGATAGAAATCTATATAGGTTTTGATTCTCTTCTGCAGGCGCCATACACTCCTGCCCAGTTTGTCCCAGGCACCCCACTCTCCTGACCTTCAAAAACAGCCCATTCAAGGACATGGCTCCTCAAGGTCCAAGATGAATTTATCTCCCACATTCAATAAATACCCGATCCTAGACAAAAACCTTTAGCTCTCTTCTCGGATAACATGTCTGTTATCTGAGACCTCCAGGATGGAGACTCTGGCCCTAAGCGATGACAACTGCATTCATCATAAGGCAATCTCAGAAGCTGAAGGGACTCTTCCCTCCCTGCGAGATTTGGTGCAAGTTGAATAACCTCTGAGCTTTACTTATTTACCTTTCAAATCATTTTCAATTCTCATGTTGTTCAAAATGTTAATATTCCTAAAATCCATGTTGGTAAGGGTGTAGGAAGATGGAAAATTGTATCCACTGCTGATGAGGATTAAACCAATGCAGTTTTTGTAGAAAAGAGTATGGTAGCATCTAACAAAAATGAAAATATTTGTAGTCCCTGACCAGAAAGTTCATGCAGATAAATCTGCTTTCCATAATCAAATATATGAAATTTTGTTCTATTTATTGCATCTTGTTTTCCCCATCAATGAGATATTGCAAACAAAATCTAAATGCTTATTCACAGAGCAGGAGTTTAACAAATGATAGTACACTCAAAATTGGGATGGTATGGAGCCAATAAGAAAGGCATATAAACTGGAAGAATGATACGAAGTTTCCAGAAACAAAAAGCAAACTGTAGTACCATTCATGCTGCTGGAAGCAAAGAAAGAAGAAAAGAGAGAATCTGAAGAAAATGTAATAAAATATTTGCTTTACAAAGTGGAATTACAGGAGTGGGAAACTTTTACTCTTTAAGACTTTGAAGTAGTTTAAGCAAACAGAAACATATAAAAAGTAACA